ACCGGTATCGGATAAAACCTAAACGATACCCATCCCTAGTCACATGAGTCCTTAGATATGCACAGAGTTAACACAGAAACTGAGATGTGGTTATTTAGAGAACATGGACTACTAAAAGCAGTGTAAATATGCTTGCCTGATGGGAGGGACTTACTAAAGCTTTTAAAATTCTATCTCTTATTTTTTGTTTGTTTCTTTGCATTTGCATGAAGCCTACTGCCTCTTTAAGGGAAAACTATGAACATTAAGCTGTGCAGCTACAGCAGGTGGAAGGTCCTACCTGAACCTAGTAGACCTCCCTCAAATGAGTGGTGGCATCCAGCCTGGCATTTTCTTACACCAGAATTCAAAATATAATAATAATAGGATAAGAGCTATAAGTCTTATGTCTTTGTTCTTTAAAAAGTTCCTCCAACTTTCTTTTCTGGCAGTTCCTTCCTCGTCTTCCTCTTCTTCCTCTTTTCATTACCTCTTACTGGAGACTGATATTAGACAAGACCTGCCTTCTTGATATTTTTCCCCCATCCAATATGACTATGAAGGACACTGTGACTGACAAATCATCTATTGTACACTGATACTTTGTGCGATGATGCTCTTTGCGGCCTGTGGTGGTTTACGAGTTCCTAAATGAGTAAATATGTATTTGTCTTGTCTATTCATTCATGTGGCAAAGGGTTGAATGCACTGTTCCCTCAGTTTTAATTGTTTTTACTCTGTTCCAGGTGGCGGGCAGGTACAGAGTGATGGTAGAGAGCACCATGGCCAGCTCTGATGACATCATCTTTAACTGTGGTGATGTCATCCAGCTGCTGCATGAGGATTCATCAGGAATGTGGTAAGACAGGCGACATTCTTCAGAAATCTTGAATTCAACCATTTTTAAATGTTGAAATGTTTAAAAAGATTTTGCGCATTGGTGTTGTGTATAACTGCAGGATAGTGAAGAATATAAGTCGTGGCGAAGAAGGCCGCGTCCTACCCGAGGACTTGCATAGGATTCTGGGAGAGACGTGCTGAGAGCCAATCAGGACAGAGGATGAATGAAGAAGTGTGCCTGTTTGTTCCTCACACTTTGCCTGAATATCCTTCCATGTGTACAGACACACACAGACTTATATATTCCATCAACTTCCTGAAAAAATGGGCATCTAAATCTGCTTGTCAATCAGAATGAAGCACAACATCAGCCACAGACTTTACTCCTCAAACTGCTGTGAGAGTTTCACCTCTGAAGACTGTGACCTCCAGAAAGAACCTCAGAAGACTTTAACAGTGGAAAGCACATACAAGCCATTCTTTGCTCTGCCTTCTCCGGCAGCAGTACATCAGATTATTTTGGACTGAAGACTTTAAACAGGGGCTTTTATTTATATGTTCAGAGTGGACTTTTGTTCTAGACGTCAAGCTGTATAATTTCTATTTTCTTATGAAACATCATGCCTACCAACATATCATTACTGTTCTTGTGCCAAACAGCTAAGCTAACTGTCATGCAGAAATGCCCTGGTTACGTCGTTGCCGCCTCTTAGCAGCCAAAGTGAACACTGAATGTCTGTCAGTTTTGTTTATGTGATAAAAAATGAAAACAAAATAAGAAAAAAATGAAAATATGGCATTTTAGTTTTCCAGGTTTCAGCTTTCATACTAGCTCTAGACAATTTGACACTCAGTGCTCATAGTGTGGGAAAAAATTACTGCATACCCTTGTTTACAGTTAGCTTAATTAAAAGGGACCGATTATGCTTTACTTTTCTCTCTCCTTAAATAATTACCTGTTACAGCAGTGCTACTCATATTAAGCATGGCCAGAGTAATCCCTGTAAGCTAAAAGATAAGGCTTCAAATTGCTCCAAATGCTTGGTTTCATACAGATCCTTCTACTCTCGGCTCTTAATGACATCAGTGAGAATGGATATGATGTTTATGATGTGCAAATGAGAAACGAGCTAGCTTAAAGGGATGGGACAGGAAACTGCACTATTAGTGTAATTAGTATGAGATAAATGATTATTCTGAACTTTGAATCATACCAATCTGCTTAAGTAGATTCCAAGAATAAAACATATGGAGCTGGAAATGAGAATAATCGGTCCCTTTAGTGACGTGTCATAGCAGGAAAGGCAGAGGCATAAAAACATTGTTGAAAGTTAATTTAGGAGTTTGAAGTTTTTATAAACAATCTGCCAAAAATTTAGAAAACTAGAACATTTGTAGTCGTTATTATTGACACAGTATATGACAAAGTGAATCATCTTGTGGTGCCACCTCAAACAGTGGAAGACCAAATGCAATACACAAAATTTCGCCCTGGGTCATATCAGGACACGAAAGGCCTCGACCTCGAAGTCCTTCTCCTGTAATCTCTGATCACAATTTCGGTAATTAAAAGAACAAGAAACCTCTGTCAGTGCACTTTGAACAACAGGATTAAATTAGGTCTAAATCCTACATCCTTGCTTCTGTGTGCTTCGGAGTCCAGGAACACTGATACGAACAGATCCTCTCCTGATATGACAAGTTTAAACATTTCCTGTATTTTATTGAAAAAAAGCATTGGTGAAAGTTTCAGTTGCAGTGTGATTCACTCTTTTATGAAGAGTCTCCTGAAAACTACACTAGGACTAGGTTGCTGTTATTTATGGTGATAATATAGTTTTTAATGAAAGTTATATTCTCTGCTATGCTTTTTTTTATTCATTTGATTCAGTAGCTTTTCCATCATCTAGTCTTTTAGAGCTAAAACGCTTATCACTGTCAAGCTTTACCATATTGATTGCTTGCTGAAGTGCACGGGTATCTTACACCCTACATATGACTGTAGCTTTATTTCCACCTGCGACGAGAAATGATGCTCAGTGTTGGGTACTGCCTGTAAAAAGAATAATGTGGAGTTGTCACCTGAGCATATTTGTGAATAGGAAATTTGAGGGGTTTCATTGAGAATATGGAAATGCATTTTGAACTGCCTTGTTTTAAAACTGCCCAGAAAAGCATGTGAAGTGTGCAGAGTGCTCACAAAAACACTGCCACTCAACTGGAAATGAGCTGAGAGCTCATCTCTGACTGATGTAGTGTAATTATCTGAGTTGCTGGCAGCTTATTTAGACATCTGCAGCAGACTGTGTCCATAAAAACATTAAAAATAGAAACTGTAGACGTTAAACACCATTTTAGTATTTTAGTCTGAATGGTGGCACTGCTTTGGACAGACAGACACTCTGCTATCAAGCGAAGAAATGAATTTATTGCAAGAATATTTGAATCAAATCCTTGTAGTAGCAGTAAATCCAACATTAGCTTGTACACTAAGTAAAGATTAATTTTCACAGTATTCAGCACCCACAGTGGGAGCATTGAATCGTTTGACAGTGAGCGCTCGACCATCCAAATGAAGCATGTTCACTGATACGCAATACTAAATAACATTTCATCACTTTAAATTGATTTGAAATCCACCCACCGCTGGCTGCACTGTAACATCAGAAGCTATTAATGGATTAGTTCAGTTAGGCTTTAGTGTTTTTCGTGGCAGTGCTTTAACTTGGTGTTTGCTGCTTTTGCTTATTTGCACTGTATTTTTTTAAATAATACTAATTATGTATAGAATTATTTTCTGAAAATATAAACACTGGACTTGTTTCAGCTTGACCGATGTGATTTGTCCCTTTTGTATAGCCTTTGCTTGAACGATACGTCTATAATCCTCTTGTTAGTTTTATGGTGCGTCTTAGAGCAGGATAATGGCCAAGCAAAATTCACTACCACTTCATTTCATTGATAAAACGGGGTATTCATATAGAGCTTCCTGTTGATGCAAATTTGCTTAAATCATATTTGTCATCAAAAATGAGAACATCATATGATACTCAAACACTCAGATAAGTTGATATGTTTTATTGAGGTACTAAAAAAGAACACGGGGGATTTCTCACTTCATTCACTTCCTCGGGGGCTAAACTCAACACATGCTACTTGTTTATTTTTACAGCTGAGTCATGAATCCTGTTAATTGTCCATGTTGATCTGTGTTACGTTACTGATCCATTTGTAGTAGTGTGAGACCCGGGTATAGACGCCATACTTCCCGTCTTTGGCACACTCCTCTCCCCAGCTGATGATGCCTGTCAGGAACCAAGTTCCTTTGTAATTGGTGGCATGCGGCCCACCGCTGTCCCCCTGGCACGAGTCCTTCTGTTCACTTTCAAAGCCTGCACAGAACATAAATCGGGTGATATGGTCTCGGCTGCTCTGTTTACATTTGGTGCGGTCCACATAGGGGACTTCCAGCTTCTGGAGCTTGGTGGCCTCGGGGCCTTGAAACCTTATCCGGCCCCATCCACTCACAAGGGAGACCGTGGATTCTCTCAGAATGTTCTGTATGAAGTCTTTGGGGCCCAGGCAAATGGGACGCCGCTTGTTGGACAAGTCCACTGGACTGCCAAGCTTTAGGAGCGCAATGTCATGGTTATATGGTGAGGTCTTGAAATTATACATGTGGTGGGGATGCCTTTCGACCACCTCATGGTCTCGCTCTGGACCCTCATCTTGGTTCACATCATGTTCACCTGGAAGCATAGATTAAGATAAAGATTTTCTAAGACAATGGAAATTTCTGCACAAGGAAGCAAAGTCTAAAGTACTAGACAACTTGTAAAAAAACATTAAAGAAACATAATTGAAAAATAATTTGTTAAAAAGCCATGAAGCTGAAACGAAAAAGGAATAGTCTGATCCCTAATACTTTAGGACAAAACAGTATTATTTGTACTTTAGAAGTTCAAGTGAAAGATTTAATGTTAAAGAATGCAAGTAGCCTTTGTTCTTCCTACCAACTCTGATGAAGAATTTATGTTCTGTGCCATCGCTGTTCCACAGACAATGGGCAGCAGTGATGACCCATAAGTCAGCGAGCAGGGATCCTCCACAGAAGGGCCGCGCTCTCTGCGCGCTGTCTGGGCGGAACATCAGGGCCACCTTCAAACACAGAAAGAAAGACAAAGAAAACTTGCAACAGAAGAGCAGTGATGCAGTATTCCGTTTTAAAGAACCTACCGTTTCTTGCACATTTTTTGAGCATCTGACAACAAAAAACACTCAAAAGCAGCACGTTCTCTCTGCATGGCACAGGCTTCAAACACTGGTCTAGACTTACACTTCTAATGCATCTTCATTAAACCTGGCGCTCAAGTGCAAGTTTAAATGTCAAAGTCTATTCAAAAGTCTTTCTATTTAAACTATTGCACAGATTTAAAAGTTGCTGACTATTTGAGGATTACAGCTTACATCTTACAGCTACATCTAAAACTCATGCAAATGTTCTTGCCCTGCTGGGATTTTTGTTCCAGTTCTTCACATATTGGCCTTCACTGCATCCCCAGCTCTTCCCTCTCCAGCCAATATCACAGTACCTGCCAAGGTATCTCTCCAGGAATGGCCGTATCTCCTCCCACAATTCTTTGGTCAGTTTTCTCTTGAGTCGTGACGTTGGGGAGTGTGGCATACCCCCAGGACAACATCTCTGTCTTTGTTTTTGGTGTATCAGTGACACTTCTCACATGTCGACTGCCAATCACAGCCTCAGAGTCCAGAGAGTCATTGCTCGGGTTTGAGTCGGTCATGGGATGGTTCAGATAATCATACTCTGATATATCTTCATCATAGAAGTAATCGTTTCGGGTATCGTTGTAGGAGAAGTTTGACGATCTTGGTTCTAGGATGGACCTGGTGAGAGAGCTGGAGGACAGATTCACACGACCACAGCTGAATGGCTCTGGAGAAATAAAAGTGAAATAATAGGGGAAATATTACATTTTCGCCTCCTAGATTTGTTTAAATTTTACATTGTCATTTTTTATGAGGTTGGAACTGTAGTTCTTCAGATTTTTTCTCACATGTGCAGATTGCTGACCCAAAAATAGAAAGAAAAAAAAAAGAAAAGAAAAATACCTCTTTCCTTTCTGTTCCCTTTGAACACTTCATCTTTAGCAAAGTCCGGTTATATTATGTTTAAGCAGTGTATCATAGATGAATGTGATTACTGTTAAGTTCCCTGAATGTTTTTTGTGATAAAAGAAAAGAAGATTTTTTTCCCGTTCATATGATTTACTTAGTCCGGCTGCTGAAGCATGAACGAGCGTAAAAATGAGAACTATAAATTTAGCACCCCACCACTTCCACTGGAGACGTGTTAGGAGAAGTATTAGGAGGAACAATTGCATTATGAACAATCATCATGAATATTTACATGAAAGTTTATTTCCTTTATGATTGTTGCCTCTCTGTGGAATACAAAATTTACATGTATTCATGGTATAAAGGAAACTACACGGTTCGTCCTTTCTAAGGTTTCACACATCAGGACATCGTAAAAAGCTAACTAATCTGTACTTGGTTTTTAAATGAGTTAAATACAACCATGGATAAACAACAACAAATGAAATATTATTCCAAGTCATTATTTATGTAACATAAACTAAGCCGAAATGCAGATGCAATATAAAATAAACTATAAACTTCCGTAATTCAGTAGCTTCCAGACCACCATTAGCAGCAATATCTTAAATTAATGGTTTTTCTTTGTGGCTTTATCAGTATCTCATGTGGCTGTGGAGCAATTTTTGCCCACTCTTCTTTACAATGTTGCTTCATTTCATTGAGGTTTGCAGGCATTTGTTTATGCCCAGCTCTCTTACTGTCACACCACAGCATTTTAATCAGGTTGAGTTCTGGACTTTGACCGGGCCATTGCGATGCCTTGGTTCTTTTCTTTTTCAGCCATTCTGTTGTGGATTTGCTGCTCTGCTCAGGATCATTCTTCAGGACACATGGCCTCACACTTGGCTTTAAACACTTTGGTATACAGAGGGGTTCATGGTTGACCCAGTGACTACAAGGGACTCAGATGATCTGCTTCAAAACAAGCCCAAATCATAGCCAATGCCATGCTTTACTGCCATGCTCTTCAGAGGCTTCTAAACAAGCCATAGTTGTTCAGTCTTTTTTTTTCTAACTGTATTTAGCTATTATTAAAACCTGATAAAGATAAGGTTTTTTTTTTTTATTATGTCTTCATATGTAAAACCATAGAAACTGTATTGTAGTTGAAGTCAGAATGAAAAATAATCAGATGTTAATGGAAAATGTCCTTAGTAAGTTAAATGTTAAATTTAATGTGAATTGAATTTCTTCTATGGGTGCAGATGTTTCACATAGACTGTGGTTACCTTTTTAGAAAGCACTCGTGCAGAAAAAAACAAAACAAAACGCTCTTACCACTGCACTAAATGCTCCGTGTGGTTTTACCTATTGGCTCACAGCTCTTCTTGTTTGGCCCAAGTATGTAACCAGTTGCGCACCTGCACACAGCTTGATTAGCCTTCATTACACAGAAATGAGAACATTCGCCATTGTTCACCAAACACTGCTTGTTCACTTCTGGAAAAAGTCAGGAAAACAGAATTAGCTTTCTTTGACAAAACTTTATGGCCTTAGCTCAAACGTTGTTTCAGCCGAGTTATTCAGATCCACACTCACCGATCTCACAGTTCTTGCCACTGAAGTTTGGTTGGCACAAGCAAAGATAACTGTTGATCCCATCTTTACACACACCTCCATTCTGACAGGGGGGTGGCTTACACTGGTCACCATCTACACACGACAGACCACACCACAGGTTTAGAGAAGACCTTGTGCTGTAAATTCTCAGCAAACATGAGAACTTGTACTTTGTTCGTCTTACCGACATAGCCTGCCCAGAACTCCATCTGCAAAAGGAAGATCAAATTAAACGGGAAGTTCACCAACCATCCATCAAGCTCTGATCATTAGACCACTGTAACTCCCCACTTTTGGATATATAAACAGTCAAGGTGGCCACCTTCTCTTGAATGTGAACATTTACATCCTAATATGGTGTCAGCAGTGCCAGCCTCTTAATACTGGTAAAGGCATAGGATTGTGTGTGTGCGTGCATGTGTGTGTGTGTGTGTGTGTGTGTGTGAGAGAGAGACCTACAGTTTTCTCATCATCCTCAAACACCTCTCTGGCCTCCTCCATGCTGCAAATTTCTTCTATACATTCCCGCTCCAGGTTACCTTGTTTAAATTCTTCAAAAGGAGTGTTATATCTGCGCTTACGATGCAGCACGGTGTCTGCTGTCTGCTGAGACACGAACACAGCTCCTGAAAGGGTAACAAAAGACAAAGAGTCCTCACTAAGTTTAACATAATTATTCAGAACTATTGGTAAAGGCTGCTTTCAGGGATATATATGTATATAAAACCTATATGCATAATATAAAAGTACATCAAAGATGGACAGGTACCAGGACTGAAAGTGAAACCAGCGTGGAAGTGTCTTAAATCTGACAGCAAGGAGAGGTTTGTTGGAAGCAGGCTGAGATTCTGTACTTTTTCATTCAGATCGACAATGCGCTCATCAAAACACCTTTATGGTGACCAAAAAGCTCAGCTTGAGGCTAAAAATGTGCAACTTTGCTGTCCAGTGACCATCTTCTGTGTACAGTCTATGATATTCCTCTGCAGTAATCATATTATTGGTGTTCTCACTTGTGTAGAGAGTCTGCTATGGTCTCATCTTCATATATCTGGTGATCCCTTTGACACATGATACCGTGCTTTACCTTAATCATTTAATTGAGCCAAACAAAGAGCTGATACTTGCTACAGTTTTACATCCGCTTAGGATAATCTAGACTGGCTGCTACATGTACCTAACTCAGTGGTCCAGCTATCATCCCTGCCTTTCCAGCACAAGACGTCTTGCAAACAGCCACCAAATTGTCTAAATTATATCAACTTAACATTTCAGATTTACATCCTAACCCTGTGGATGGACAAAAGCAAACTGGGTTATGATAGGGGCTGGCCTGAGTAATCCTCATGAATGGTTAAAAATATTGACACCGACAGCCCAAGGACTTAGGAATCTTTACAGATCCAAGTGAATAAGAACTTTAAGAATCGAGGTTATTAACCAGGCTGTCAAAAGCAATTCAGTGGTCACCTGCTTAGCCACCAGCCTTTTCCTATATTTTGTGCAGCTCTAAACTTTGCTGAACTCATTTTCCTGCCACCTGGGTCAATACCTGCTCTGCTGCTTTTTACCTGTGTTTTCTTCTGTGATCTCAGCACCCACTCCATGCATGTCCAGCAAAAAACCAGCAAAGCAAACCAGTGCACACACTCTGGCCATCTTGTCGTTGTCAGTTGTCTGTCTGACTTTGACACTAAACTCAAAGCCTTATCCAGAGCTCCAAAGTACACCAACACAGTGTTTGCTCACCGGTATGTCTGCAGTGCATGTGTGTGTGACTGTGGGTGGTTTTTTTTTTCAGATTTGTGTGTGTGTGTGCTTGTGAAGTATGTTTGAGGGAAGGATGTGGAGAAAAACCTCATGTGTGCATGGAAGAAAAGAGAGGTGTCCCATAAAAGAATAAAAGAAGGTGCTTTTTTTCTACACTGAAATTGAGCAACATCAAATATTGACTGCTGATGGGACGGAACAGGTTGGACATTAGCGTGTGTACGTGTGTGTGTGCGTGTGCACGCGTGTATGAACATTACCAGCTGTTGTTTATCATGATGAGTCTTTTCAGATAAGCAGCTTTTGCAAGGCTTACGTGAGGTTTCAGATGAGTTGAGTGCACTCACACAGGCACAATTACGAAAACACACACCCACAAGTTTGTACTTCTCCATTTCTGGGTAAGTTTATAATGACGGCTCAGGTCATTGAGCTAGTGTCCTTGATCAAGTGACTGAACCCAAAGTTGTTCCCAAAGGCAAGTAAGAACCTTGCATTTCAGCTCTGCCACCTCTGGCACATAAACAGTAATTTGAGACTTACTGTAAAGCATTTTTAGAACGGATGCCACCATGCTTGACAGTTAGTACAGTGTTCTTAAGTTTGAAAGCCTCACATTTATGCCTCCAAACATACCTCTTGTCATTGTGAGCAGATCAATCTTTGTCTTGTCTGACGGTAAAACTTTTCACCAAACTTTCATCTCACCCAAAGATGAAAGTTATTTAGGCCTTGGCGAAGTTACAAGGCCGTCTCAGGTTAAAAGACACTGTAGAACCTTCAGCACCAGTTATTAAACTATTGAAAAATGATTTTATGTTTGGATTACAGAAAATCCAAAATGAATTCAAACTTGTGGATCCAATTCTTGTTTCTTAAAGTCATTAAAGATTTCCACCTTGGGGAAAAAAGTATTCATTAAACCACCAAAATTACAAAATTACCAAAAACGTTGAATATATTAGGAAATAAAAAACAAAAAACAAAACTCATGCTTAAAATGTTTGTCTGTTTGGACGATCCAGTAGTTGAGGGTGGATAAAGTCACCAACTTTGTTGTATAAGATATTCTTGTACAACTGACGCCACCAAATCAGGTTTTCTGAATATTGGATTTATTTCTATTTCTGCTCTCTAATGTTTTAATCCTTTAGTCCATAAATTTGCGGTGACTGGGGCTCCTGTTCAGACTTCACTTTAAATCTAAAGAGTAAATGTCCTCAATTTATAAAAATGCTCACTGAAATCTTTTTTTTGCATGTGTACACTCACATGCACACACACCTGGAGCATTTTCACAGCTGGCAGTTGAACCTTCCACTCTAATGTTTGTTAATAGTCCTTTTGTATGGAAACCAATATGTGTGTATTTATTTATGTAATATTTTTGTCTTGTTTACTCAAGACCGTAGCTCTGGTGGAGGAGCAGGTCACCCACTAACACCAACATTTGATTAGCAATTATAATTTAACTGCATGCTTTTATCAACAACTACCTGACAGGGATAACAATAGCAACATAATTGAATTACTTAAATGCAGTTACCTGCATGTGATATTACAAATGTTAGCAGGGAAGTCACCTGAAAGCCATTCAGATACAGCAAGAAAAGGAAGAAACATCAACAGAAACTCATCAGTTGATGCTGAAACTCGCACACTGAAGTAAGTAATGTCAGATCTGTACTAAGTGTCGAAGGCTGTTTGATTAGCTCGTGAGCTACGCAGGGTTTGACTGGTGATAAATCACTGTGACTGACAGCTAGGTCAGCTGACCTTGAGCCAGCAGCTCCTTAGCAACAGCGCCCGTGTGGTGATTTATTGGCTGACGATGGCTTAGATGGAGCGAGCAGGGGGTTGCATCCCTCTTTTTATGGCAACTTATGTAAGCCTTTAAATTCATCTCACTCGCAAATTAGATATTAGAGCATAAAATAGGAAGGGGGATTTCACAATTAGCAGGTTTGTAGCAATTATGTTTAGATCGCTGCCTGCTGATTGGTGTCCTGGGAACAGATTTTATAGCTCTGAAGATGAGGAGGGTGGTACTGGTTTCAAGCTTTACAGATGACAGAGAGAAGTAAAAAAAGAAAAAGAAAAAAAGTGGGTTAAAAGCAGGAAAATCCTATTACCACCAGTGTTTTTGATGGACTTTTATCTGTTTGATATCAATGTTTGCTGTTAACAGAGCTGCTGAAATCTTGGTTTGATTTGTAGGACTTGATGCTCCAGATCTAGGCATGACATCGAGTCAATTACCTCCTCTATTCATGTCCCCATGTTTCTCCAGTCAGTACAGAAGTGCCCCCTCTCATTCCCATTAAAATCATTCAGCTCGGTTGCCATTAGTGAGTCATGAGGTCATTGCTGTTCCCTCAACAACACTGAGTGGTGTGCAGCTGATCTCAGACATGCACACAGTGCAGAGGAATTATGACTGGCTGAGAATATTTTGACTAATACACCTGCCCCCGGGTACAGTGTTTCCACTGTGGCCAGGTGTTTGTCCCACTTGAAAACATGCTGAAACTAATGACATGAACATGATCAGAGATGGTTAATCTAATCCCCCTGTAGAGTAAAGAGTATAATTGATTTCTCATTTCCATGTCTTTGCCCTAATGTGGCAACACTCACAAACAAGACAAGCAAACTCTCCTGTAATGGTTTCTGTGTTTAATTTGTGCTGCACTCAAACACACATGCATGTGTTACCTTTCTCTGTGTGTGAAATCTATATTTCTGGGCAGAGTGGGTTTGACCCCCCGGATATGAGAGTGGGTTTGACTCCTGGGAAAAGGAGCAGACTTATGTACCACTTTTTGTTCTAATAGAGCAGCTGGTCCCAGATCAGTAATCCTCCAGAAGGGGGATCTTACAGAGGGACAGCTGTGCTTTGGTCTGTTGGCTTAGAGTCAAAAAGCCACTATGACAATGTCACAGCTCCATTATACAAAGTCGTCATACAAGAGATGTAGTAGCAGCATTTTGAAGGGTCATGCAAGGACAAAAATCTTTAACAAAACACAGTGACCTCATTTCTCATGGTGCAGGAAATTTCACTGAAGCAAATAATTCTATTCATGATATTCAGTGAATGCGGTCAGGTGAAGATTTGGGAAGAAGCCGCTCCAAAGAGACACTCCTTGAATATACAGGCTTGAATCACTGTGGCCTGAGGATGCAGATTTTCTTTTTTCACAGGCTTTTTTTTTTTAATCCATTCATTTTCTTTTGCTTATCCGATTTAAGGGCACAGGAGAGCTTCAGCCTATCCCAGGGCAAGAGACACAGTCCTTCCTGGATGAGTCGCCAATCAGTCGCAAGACTAACACAGACAACCATGCTCATATTCACACCTATAGCCAGTTTAGAGTCACAATCCAAAGACCTGAGGAAGCCAGAGTGCACTGAGAGAACCCATGCAGACACAAGGAGACCAACACAAACTCCACACAGAAACTCCCAGACTGGATTCAAACTAAGGACTTTTCTCCTATCAAGTGAAAGTGCTAATCACTGTGCCATTGTGCCTTTTTTCAAATCTCTAATATTTAATTTTCATGTTTTTATTCCATTGTACCCCTTCTTTAAGGTTTAGGTATTGTTTTCCTTTATTAACTGCCCAAGAAGGTTGTGTCATTCTGTCTGTAAACAGGGTAGCTCTAAAGAATTCTGATAAAACTAGGGTTGTGGCCTGGGATCGTCTTAACAATCCATTAAAATTTTACATACATCTACCAAGGTCTTCAATGTCAACTTGGTTGAAAATGGACAAAAACTCTTATAACAACACTTATAAGAAACGATGATTCTTACAAGTGTGGTCTGTTTTGTCAGCATATCGAATGCACCA